GGCCCCGGGCGCGTGGCTATGGGGGGACCCCGGCCCTGGGCATGCGGCTATGGGGAGGGCGCCCCCGGGCGCGCAAGTGCCCCCACCCCCTGGTGCCCGGCGGGCGAACGGCCATGCCCCCTGGCGCCCGACAACCTCAAAAGGTTGGGGACCACTGCTTTAGGCTATTACCAGGCTTTTATCAGATTAATTTTACGTTTGTTGGAGTGGCTAAAAACATTCCCTTTTGCCCCCTCCTAAAAGAAAGCGACTGTCATTGGAGAACACACTCTTGTTCCTTGCAACATTCTCTTTTTTCCCCTTTGATCTCATTTCCCCCCTTCCCTTCGGCCTCACACTTTTCTTTCTGTCTCGAAGCATAAAAGCAATTTTCTGTTGCTCCTAGTCTTACTTTGTCTTTTAAGAAAATAAACAAACAAAACAGTGACTTGGCAGCTGTCTTCATATGTGTGCCCTTTGCTTGCCTGCAGCTCCCGTTCAGCTTGAAAATGTGGAATCATGTCTCCTGTGTCTCTTTTCTTCACCACCAATTAAGGTCTCTCCAGGATCTCTCCAGGCAGACGGATATTCCTTATGGCACTGTCTTGGACTCTGCAGTCTATGAGCATGTTCGAGTGAAGGGGATGAATCCTTTTGAGAGGGACAGCATGTATTCCCAAATGTGGCGAATGATTAACAGAAGTAACGGCTCAGAGAACAATGTGCTGGAGTCACCAGCAGGCATTCAGAAGGTATGAAACATGGTTTTCCTTTCCCTTGACAATTGGAGATGCTCTGTTGGATGCACAATGCTGGTTTTTTTAATTGTTGTTGTTAACATTTGAAGCTGCATTTGCACATAAAATAATGATCTTCATTGATTTATACATGGATTTTATGCAGCTCATTGCCCTAGCAGAAAGGATTGGGTGTTCTTAGCCCAGTTCCTTTTCCATTATCTTTTAAAATGTAAGTCCAAAAAAAAGTTGCTTTGAAAACGATTGAGGATTTAGAGACATGAAAGAAGAATACATTTGTCAGAATCCAAAATGAGAGTAGGATTACTGGACTCTAATAACAAAAGACATTTCAGTGTCCTGAAGTAGGATTTATGTAGGTTTGAACACAACACACAGATTTGTTTTTAGACTTTTGCTTCTGAAAACTTTCACTCATGGTTATGAATCCTATGTGTTTTGCAGAAAGCAGGCAGAAAAGCATGACCTTGTTTTAAAAACCTCATAGGAATCTTTTAAATGTAATTTGCTTTGAGAAAACAAAATTAAGTAAAAACTTGTTTGTCAAGTGAGTTCTTAGAAGAGTAAACATCACATTTATTATCCATTAAATAGCACAGAATGAGATTTGTGAATATTTTCATCAGTGACTTCAATGTGTGAATGACAAGAGAATAGAATTTATCCCTCTGATAACCTCTCCAGATTGAAAATTTAAAATTGATTCTATAAACTAGGGCCCTGAGAAACCAGTATGTTTTGTTATTTTAGCAAGGCCCAATTTTAAAGGATTAATTTAAATTTGAAGATGGGGAGAATTAATTATAATAGAAAATTGAACTGCTGCATGTTTCTTCATGTTTAGTTGTTCAATCTTTTTTAGATCTATCAAGCCAATCAAGCCATTTCAGAGCTGTTGCCTTTGTTTCTACTGAAATACACTTTCTAGCATATCCTACATACCCATGCTGTCATGGCAGTTGATGATTGCACATGAAGGAAAGGGTCTTTAAAAAAAAGGGAGGAAGCCATTTCTTACTGGTGAGCTCTTAACAGTAAAAGAGCTACAAGATAACAAAAACCGTTTAGGAGTTTTATAAAAAAGTGACTCCACCCACCACCGTTATACAGTGGATTGTATTTTTCAACACCAAGATTTACCAAACACTAAATGTCATGAAAGAGGGAGAGGTGAGACGGTCCAGGGGAAGTGCTCTTATGATATCCTGCTAGAATGTGTCATAAGCTGAAATACATTTGAGGTATAGAGTTCGAAGGTGTCAGAAAATGGGACAGCTAAAAATTGATTGGGATGGGAAAAGACATTTTTGAGAAAATATATTTTGGTCCAGTTTGCAAGGTGCTTATAAAGCTGAGAAGCCCCTTTAAAAAATCCATCACTCTAGCTTGCCTGCCAAATCTATACAAATAAGTTTCAGGGCAATCATAAAATGCAGCACAAAACACACAGCTGTATGTTGTGTGCTCCCTTTAGCTAAGGAAAGCAACCAGTCACTGGCAGGTAATTCCAAATTACAGTCTTTGAGTTCTAATTCCTGAAGACATGGCATTTTCTGTCTTTAAGTTGACAGAAGCGGTATTGTCGGAGTTCCCATAGCTTTGCTTTCTAGGAATAAGTGTTTGCACGTGATGGTATCAAAGAGCTAAGCTTTAGCAAAGCAGCCATCAGCCAACCTCTCTCTCTCTCTTTCCAAATAACTATAAGGCCATTCCCAATGAGCATGCACTTCCAACTATTCCTGCATATGCATGCATGAGTGCTCGCTCTCGCTTCCCCCCCACACACATACAGCCCCATACACCTCACAGGAAAAAATGCCACAGTCAGTGTGAGAAAGAGAGAGAGCAAGAGAGCCCTGTGCTGCTCAGACAGGTGATAAATAGAAGGCTCTTTGAAGATTGTATTTGGCTTGGCCAGGAAGAAATATCTCTCTCCAAGGAATAGGAAGCTCTGCTTCTGCAGGATCTATCTGAATCTTTCATCCTCAGTTGGATGATAAATACAGTATTACATACCAACCCTGTGCGCAGAAGAAAATTAAGACAAAAATGTAACTGAGGCAGAGGTTAGTCTCTTTAAAATAACTCTAAAATGAAAGCATGCAAATAATTCAGAGGAAGGATTTAAGGAATTCATTTGGCCCATTTACATTGTTTAATGTACTCATTCCAGACCTTGAAGAACAACTGGCCACACCAGAGCTATTAAAACCATAAGATTATAACGTCAAACAAATCAAACTAATTTTGGGTCTCATTTTGTGTTTCATTTTAATAACACCGTTAATTGGTGCTAAGTCATGACTCAACGAGATAAGAAACCAACACGGACAGCTTGCCAACTAAATGTTCTTGGACAGCTACTAAAAATTAATAAATAAGGCAATACAGATACAAAAAAAAAAGTTTCCACTAGGCCACATAGTGTGTCCATGAAGAGATTCAGATACTGTGACTGTAAGGACGTGTCTGGGGATTATAGCATGTGTGTTGCAAATGAATATGTCAAACATCCTTTGCTTTAACAACACTCCTTTGCTGCATCCTCTCCAAGGTAAATTAGATGTGCAGGCAGCCATTGCAAAGTGAAACCAGTCGAACAACAGGAGTACAAAGGCAGGCACTGTCTTAAACCTTTTTCATACAGTTTAAAATCCTTTTAATTTTTCTCTCTGTCACCCTGATAACTATTGCTTAGTAACTTATATTGTGACAAATATAATACTATGGAGGCAAATTCAGTGCTGTGTGACACCTCATGCATCCCATTTATTTCAGTGGGATTTCATGGATTGTATATCAGCAATTTCAATGGAAATTGCACTTCTGCCTCCCCATACCATGTGGCCTGGAGCAGGGGGAGAAATTGCAGAGAGGAATGAGTCAGACCTCACCTGATAGAAGCAGAAACATACAAAGCAGGGGCCTCTCTGCACATTGAGGATATGTCTATACTACAATTAAACCTATGGCTGGCCCATGTCAGCTGACAAGTCAGCTGAGTCCCAAACTCTCGTCTTCAGTCTGAGCCCAACTAAACAGCCCTGCAGCCTGAGCCCCATGACTCCAAATCAGCTGATAAGGGTGAGCTATGGGTGTTAGGATATGTCCACATTGCATCTAGGGAGAACTTTGTACTATTTTGACTGGGCTTTGTGTGCCCTGTGCCTATGGGCAATTTCTTCCAGCCTTCTTCCCCTTCCTCACAGTCTTTTTGCCTGACTTCACTGCACAATTCCCCCTTATGTCATCTTCTCCCTTATCCTGTCTACCTCACTGCTCTATCTTTACTTTGTCTTTCTATTTAGCCGATCCCTCCTAAGTAACTCTCTCCTCCCCCCAAAAAATAATGGAACCAATGTACTGTTTGCTGCCATCACATTGTTCACTCTGCTGCTGTGTTCTACCCCTTCCCCCGTCCTGTGTCTATCTTGTCTATTTTGATCGGGGTGGAGAACCTATGGCCCCGGGGCTGGATGCTGCCCCTGGTTTACCTGCATGCAACCTCCCTTTCAGTACTGGGGAGCCCACTCTGGTGCTCCAGCTTCCCTACCATCTCCCTGCAGGACTGGAGCCCACAAAATCCCCTAACCTGGGTCCCCCTAGGCTCTGGTGTACGATGGAAATGTGGGGAGAGTTTTTTCCTTAGTTGGGTGCCACATTTGGCAGTTCTCTCACTTGTGATTGGCCTTTAGGCACTACTATAGTAGACATGATTACTACTCTCAATAATCTGTGTATAAGAACACAATTTAAGCCCCATGACAACATTTCTTTATCTCTGTTTGGATCAGAAAAGATGCAACTTCAGTATGTCCTTGGTCAGCTTAGACAGAGGCAGGGGAGAAGGGTAAGATGTACACACAATCCTTTTTCTAAATTTCTGGTTTTTCACATATCCTAGTCCCTGTTTCCCCCCATAAATTAGGTCAAGCTATGTATATGGCTGTGCGTGCCCTCATTCCTTTTACATCCACAGCACCTGTTTCAGGTATGGTTAAAGGATAGCTGAGTAGATAGACATTGAACAGATTAATAGAGTTTGAAAGCTCAGAATATATGACAGCCTGAGACGCATAGGCACCTTAAATATGTTCTTGTCTGCCCTCGGTTTTCCTTTCTGTCAGAAAATAAAAGTCATTGAAGGCATGGAAACAACCAGTTTGGGTGTTTTTAGCTACTTTGTCATATTAGAAAAAAAGGAAGGCATCTGTATTTCTATATTTGCTTTGGATTATTCTGGAGAATATTTCCTTTTATCTCTATTTTTTCTTTATTACAGGCAGTCCCCGGGTTACGTACAAGATAGGGACTGTAGGTTTGTTCTTAAGTTGAATTTGTATGTAAGTCGGAACTGGTACATATTGTAGGGGAAACTCTAGCCAAACATTTCTCCAGAGCTCAGTTTTATTCTCCCACACCTCATTTCCCTCAGTCCTTCATTCTCAAGCTGAGGTGTCTGCTGAGAAAAGCCGCTCCGCGTCTCCCTGGTCTGCTGGGGGTGCGGCGCTAGCTTCGCGTCTCCCTAGTCTGCTGGGGGGAAGCAGCTAGTGCGGGGTTGCCTCACCCCATTTGTAAGTAGGGATCCGATGTAAGTCAGATCCATGTAACCCGGGGACTGCATGTATTCCTAAATACTCTGTGTATTCCAAATTGGGGGGAGGGGTTCCTTTTTTTGCTTAGATTATGAAATACGCATCTTAGTCAGTCAAAAGAATCTCCATTTTTGTGGCAGTTATTTATTGTGAGCAGATTTACCAGGACCAAAGGCATGCTTGTTTAAACATTCATTGAGGACTCATAGAAAAAATCATTTAGGCTTAAATGTATCACATTATATGGCACTTTATGTCTTCTTTAAAAGCACATTACCCTACTTAATCCTTTACAAGCACCACAGGGTTTCCTACCTTCAGACCTATTCCCATTTAAAATATAATGAAGCACTTCTACTATGCCTTTGCCTGCTCTTTGATCCTTTGAGAATAATGATG